ACAACTTATTGAGGTTGTTGGGAACAGTGGTGGTTATAAAGTCTTCCAGCTGCTGGGAGGAAGGATCTGTGATAACGCTCCCTGGTGCATTTAGGGTGCAGCAGTCTGTCACTGAAGGAGCTGTCCAGTTCAGCACCAGCTTCATGCATGGGGTGGGATTGTCAAACTGACTCCCATCATGATGAAGTTCTTGGAAAGGCTTGTAAAAGAACACATCATCTCCAGTCTACCCCCGACATTCCACCCATTACAGCTCCACTGAGGACGCCGTCTCTGCTGCTCTTCACCTGATCAGTGCTGCACTTTATTAGTGGAAATGTTCATCTTGCTGTAAGCTGCTCATCCACTGCTGAAAAGCTGTATGGATTGAAATTTTGTTCTGTATAGACTGTGTATACAAAATGACAGTTAAAAGTTGGTCTAAGTTTATTCTAAGTAGCTCTAAGTGCAACCTTTCCCTTTGGTAATAATTAATAGTGTGCTGCTACCCCACTGAAAGAAGGCTAAGAATTCCAACTGCTCTGAATTAGTCAAAAGCTCATTTGATCACACCCCAAATTCTTCAAGATAAACTTTGGGTTTCAAACATAAAATCCATGCTAAACTGCATTATTTTGTTGATTATGATTTTCAACCATCTTTTCTCTTCCTGTTTGTAAACATTAGCCTAGTTTAGTTTCATTAGTTTAAGTCAAGAGTTTTTAACTGAAATATTTGATTTGGAGCTGAATGGTTTTTGATAATAAACCTAATTTTGAACTGCAGTTGTGGTGAATTTATTCCATGTATTCCATCTATGGGTAGAATTATGTTTGACCAAGATTTGAGCTCAATTCACACTTTCATTAACAAACAGGGTGTGTTCATAAACAATATATGACAATCTGAATATCTATACCACCCCTTCAGTGGTTGGCAATAAATATATTAATGTTTCACAACATAAAACATATTTCATCCTTAGATAACGTTCTAGAGCTTCAAGAGGATGTGTTCATTAGGATGTGTGTCCATTATTAAGGATACATTAAATTATTGTACTGAAAAAAAAAGAAAAGATGACTCAGCATTTTTTAAGGTAACACATTCATTTTTATTATTTTAACTCTGGTACAAACAATGAAATGAAAATAACCAGGGGTCCGTTTCACAAAGCAGGTTTAAAGTTTTATAAATCCTAAAATCAGGGAAACTCTTGAGTTTTCTGTTTCGCAAAGAGTTTCCTTAACCTCTGTGTCTGTTACCATAGTAACAATCAACCAGAGCCAACCTGGTAGGGAGCAGGTTTTCCTCAATTAACACAGTGTCCTCTGTCTTTGCTCTCCTTAGAGCCAATCTTGTCGTTTCATTTTGTGATTTAGTCGGGAAAGTTGTGGTTTTGTGTGGATAAAAAGAAAACCATTCACTGTTAGACATTAGGTGTTAAAAACTCACATAGAACGTCCTTTAGATAAGGATGCAAATAAAGAATTAACGGCATCAATTCATAGATAATGAATTGATAATGAATTCATAAATAAATATTTATAGGGAGCTGGATCTCAGACCGCGTATAGAGGTCCTTTATATTTAGAAAGCCATCTTTATGAGCGCTAACGTTTCACCTCACTAGACATCTAGACCTTATCCATCAAATTTGCAACATAAACTTCTTTACAGGTATTTAACAGATCTTGATGAGAGAACACTGATGTGTGCTAACAGCTTTATAGAAAATGACTGCACGGACAGACAGCCACTTAGTATTTACTGTGTAATGGAAGGCACAATCAACATAAGGAGGAACCCCATGAGATGATGCACAGGTCCTACCTGTTTGAACATTTTTATACTTCATCTTAACCTGCTGACAGGTGATTGTACCTGAATATAATACATTGATCCCCTACCATTAAGGCAGTAAACTAGTTTTCCCAGTAATGTTATCATTAAAAGACTATGGCAGGGCGCTTGGATATTTATTTTTGTCTAAATATGCATTTCTAATATCTGAAATCTTTCCTTGTCATAATTAATATTTCAAGAAAAAAAACACATTCTTCAGTTCAAGAATAAACATTCTGGATGTCTAGAAATTAATTTCAGATATCCATATTCCTATTCTTATTGTTCACAATTGGTATTATCTTGACTATTAAGAAATGCATTTCAGATATCATGAATGCATATTGAGTCAAGATGATGTGTAAACATTTCTAGGTGCGTAAAACTTTATTCATACTAGTACAAATTTGTTTTCTTAACTTCTGAAATTCAGTTTCTGCTGCAAAAATGTAATTTAGAAAATCTGTTATTACAGTTCTGACTAGGAATGTGATTTTGATCAAGAAGAAACCTATTTTAATGATCTACAAATTTAACAATAGAGAGGAAAGTGCTTTTAATAAATGTCAAAAAAGCCTACACATTCTTGTCCTTAGGCCAGATCAATTCAGATGATCAGAGTTTGTTGAATCTGCTTTGTTAAACGGGCCTCTGCAGTTTGGTCTCTGAACAGAGATGTTAACATCACAATGTCCTTACTGCTCTTTCCTACGAACCTGAGAAGCAAATTGAAACGCATGAGGAATATGCAGCCACACATAAAAGAAAACACTTATATTGCTTTTTACGCAATTTTTAAACAATCTCACATTAAATTGAGTCAATGTTTTAAAAATAGCAGGAATAAAACATCAAAAAAGCTTTATTCCATCTTTTCCATTCAGGTGCCTTTCAGTAGAATCTGACCTGAGGTCAGAGAATGTCACACATCTGTGGATTTGGTTTTTGTCTTCTCTCTGAATCAGACAGAAACAACAGAATACGTAAGCAAAATGATGATCCAATTGAACTGTAAAATAAATGTTGACAGTTATCCACCCAAAAACTATGCTGACACCACAATTATATAGAATATACATGGCCAGTTTGCTCCTCTGAAACTTAGGCGCTTCTCTGCTGACACTATAATATTCTCAAATGGATTAAGATGAAAATTCTCACAGTAAAAACTAAAGACATCGCCTTCTATTAAAAGGGGTTTCCCTATGGCAATAACTATAATGGTCTACTTGTGAAAGCAAAGCTGTTGGGCTATCAGCTAGCTCTGGAAATCTATCCAGGGATCTTGTCAGTCTTCAGGGTCAGACTCTCAGAAACTGTCAGCACACATATACCCCATTTACTCTTCCCTTTTGTAACAGTGCCGAGAACGGTCCGAGCACGGTAAACGAGATAACTGTTGAGTGTAAATGGAAGGCTACTGAACTGAACCGTACCAGACAACTGAACCGTGCTAAATCTAGTACCAGTTCAACAGTAGGGCTCGGCGCAGTTGATCTCTGGCTCGGTTCTCTGATAACAAAGAGCTTCTATTTCTCCTATTTACAGTAAGCTGACTCATTTTGCGGGTTTTCCGGCGTGTAATGGTTTGCAATTCACGATCTCAGTTCCTACTCTCATCTATGGTCATAACCGAAAGAATAATATCCCGAACACAAGCGGCTGAAATGAGTTTTCTCTGTAGTGTGTCTGGGTTCTCCCTTAGAGATAGGGGGAGGAGCTCAGTCATCTGGGAGGACTCAGAGTAGAGCCTCTGCTCCTCCACGTCAAGAGGAGAAACTTGAGGTGGCTCGGGCATTGATTAGGATGCCTCCTGGACGCCTCCCTGGTGAGGTGTTCCAGGCATGTCCCACAGGGAGGATGCCCAGGGGGAGACCCAGGACACGCTGGAGGGACTATGAGGAGCTGGCCCAAGTGGCTAGGGAGAGGGACGTCTAGGCCTCCCTACTGAAGCTGCTACACCAACGACCCGACCCTGGATAAGCGGAGGGAGGTAGGATGGATGGATGTCATCAAAAGAGCGTGGTGCGACCTGGGATGATGGCGAGACCAAGGCTCTCATTGAAATTTGAGCTGAGGAAGCTATCCAGGCAATAAGTTCCTGAATGTTATGGGCACCATTACTTTTGTTTGCGTAATTACCGCCTTGAGAACTTAGTATTGTGGATCGCTGATAGGAGGCGAGGATTTGTGTTAGCGTGATGTGTAAATGGTCGTAAGAACCAAGCTTGGCACACTTAGCTGATCCAAGCTCAGTCCGAACGGATTGGGTTCAGAGGGCTAGCAAAAACAGGGCACTAGATCCCAGAGCATTGCTCTAGGGAAGGGATTCCAAAAATGGGGTGTGCAAGATGAAAAATGTAATGGCGGTCTGACAGTTACACAGTGAGATTTTTTTTCCCCTCACACAATACCACAAGGAGTAATGGGCTCATGCATGCGCTCTCACACACATTTTTTTTAAAGTAGAGAGGGCAGGTCTTTCGCGAAAATCCTCCACAACACCTTTAAGCCCCACTGAAAATGAGAAAATGATTGTTGTTTGATGCTGTAGCACACATACTTGGTTACATTGCACCCGGTGTAACTAGGGGGTACCAATATGGCGGCCGGTGGCTCACTCCAGCCCGTACTACCAACGAGTTACAGCAATCCAGTGAATAAATAGAGATCAGTAGTATGTCTCCCTCTTTTAATGCATCAGGGTGTGGAGACATTTAAATATTGTAGAAATTAAGATGCTTATTAGCATTTGTTCTTTATGTAAAAAGTCCTGGGCTGTGGCTGATAAGTGTGAGCAGATATCACACTGTGCTTTGACATCCTTTGATGTACATTTAAAGTTTCATATGAACTAAAATTGAATATCTGAAGAATTCTTTAATTCCCCCAATCTGACTATCTTAGGTGCCATTTCCCACTGCCTTGAGAGTGCGACTAACTCATACGGCTGGCTCAGACCACACATTTTCACCCTAAGTTTGTTGTAACAGATCACAACATTGGTGAAGAATTTGGTATGCAAGTTTTATAAATGGAGCATCTGATTCCTCAACAGCCTCAATCAGCTGCCATCCATTCAGGAAAGCTAAAGTTCAAGCTGATCTGGATGCCTGAGCTCCACCATCACATGTGTACAAACCAGCTAGATACTTGAATTCCTCTGCTTGTGGCAGAGACAGGCAGCAAACTTACTTTAATTCATCCTTCAGTCGCTCCAGTTTATCCTTCATACGCTTGTTCTTAACTGAGGTGGCACTGTGTGGGACGAACCAAGCTGCTACAAACTTACAGAGCACCACCACATGCTGTCAGGGGAAAACACATGAGGTAAAACATCCAATTTACTTGTATTTTTTCATCGATTTAAATGCAACGCAACAAGAACACACCTCAAAGAGAATGACAAAGGCAAAACGCATGGCCAGGACCAGCCAGAACTTAGGGGTCAGAGAGTAGTCCTCTGCATCTCTGTAGTCTCTGTAGCTGTAGAGGACACAGTTTGTCCTGTTATATCCAATCTGAAGGAATGTACGTCTGTGTGTGTTTTTGTCCACAAAGCAGACTAGTCAGTTCCCTCACCTGCATTGAGTGACGTTAAAGAGATTCTTCTCCCTTGGAAGTACAAATTCGTCTTGCCTGCCCTGCCTCATGTAGGCGATGGACAGGGTGTCATTAATGTAGCCTTGCATGCAGCTGCAAAGAAACAAAGATGAGAAACCAGCTCTAGCATGTCGGAGTGTTCAAGCTGGTGACGCCACTGACTGTGAGGAGGTGCTGCCGTTGGCACACGGGCCGTAATGATAGCGGTAAACCAGACGAGGAATAAAGTCCGACGAGATTCCAATGACCAAGCCGTTAGCGATCACGGCCATAACGCCGACAGCTTCTAAAATCTTCGTCCACACACCTGCAATCAGAAAGATAAACCCCACGCACACAAAAACACTGTTATATGCACTTTCGTAGAAATACATTTTCATGGAAAACAGTAAAAATTCAACCATCTTGATATAAAACACTTTTTCCGCATGCTGGTGAAGATTCTTAGTTATCCAGATCATAATCATTCCAAAAAAGTTAAAAGGAAATCCACTGGACTCTTTCCAAGTTTGCAGATGTCAGAATAGCATTGAGTTGGAGGCTTTATAGAGTGGACCAAAAAAAAAAAACCTAAGCCTTTTTTTGGCTTAGAAAACATGCAATGAAATGGGGTGCTCTGTTCCCCTGTAATGCGAACAGAGCACCTTGTCTGTTCGACAATTCTCTTTAACACTAGGACTCCCAGAATTCTGATCCTACTAGAACTCCCACTGGCAGTCAATTTCACAGTTGACATTTTTCCCAAAGGAATACGTGAGTAGTGATGTCATTGACTGTAATGGTTCTAGTGTGCGATACAAACGCAATGTGGATATGTAAACCTTAAAGTCGTAGGGAAGTCATATTTAAATGTCAAATCATTCCGGCTTAAACATGTATATAAATGTACTCTTTATCAGAAGACATTGTCCAAAAATTTAGAAGATTTCTGTTTAAAAAAAAAATCCTGTCTTAAAATCTGTGGTGTTTTTTGTTGTTATCTTATGCAGGCCAGTTAGTTATATGTCAGCCTGAACACCAAAATTCGGCCAATCATATATCAATGATCATCTGTCAATCATTCTTTTTTTGGTCATAGCATCTTGATTCATATGTCGCAGCTAATACACGCCACGGTTGAAATAAGAATCATTTACTTTCCCATTGAGTCCCAGTGTTCACGGGGATGGACGTCTGTGTCTTCTGCAGACGTAGAGCTAACAGAACTGGCAGCGTTGCGAGGCAAGGGTTCAAACATGTACGGCTGTAAGCCTTCTACACCAAACCAAGCTTCTGCTGCCCTGGCGTCCTCTTCCACAACATCTTCGTCCCTACTTTCCACCTCTAAATAAAAAATGTATGACGGCGGAGACTCATCCACGACCTCCGACACTAAACTCTCCTCCTCTTGCATGTTTCCTCTGTCCATAGCGTTCCTTGACAGTGTCGTTCTAAGTCACCAATTTAGTGCTACTTGGTCACAATGGAATTTCCCATTGGGAACCTACTAGCACTAAGCTGCTAACTGGTTAGCAAGATTCTTCTGAGACACCGGCCACAATCAAACTTGCTTGTGAACCTTCGACTACAACAATCCTTTCCCTTGATAAACAACCAATCACATTCACTTTATTCACTCGTGTAAAGTCGGGCACCACTCAGGAGAATTCGGAAACGCAACGCTTGAAACAGCCGCTTCCCTACGACTTTAAAAATGAATCAGTAAAATACTTGTAAACTGTTTTACTACACAGGTTTGAAGTTTAAAATTAGAATTTTATTTACAGAAATGGATTGATTACCCTTGAACATTTCCTGCACACCACCTTTTCACATTTATGACAAACCTTACATAATCATTTTGTGGTGCAGTGCTGAAGCACCTAACGCTGTTTTGTTTGCTTCGCCAAAGCTGACTCTACTGTGGGGGAGGGGTTGGTAACCTGCGGTTTGCATGCCACTGTTTTACCAGTTTTAGGATAAAATCTCTGCATGAGACGGTGACGTTCAAACAGCTCCTGGACAAAACCAACGCATTTATAGCTGCTATGTCAAGGACATTGTAAAATACAGCAACAAGCCAGCTTCACGTTGGAGCTTTTACAGAATACTTTTTTAATCATCTGATCCGACACATCCACGCCGTCCTGTGTGTGATTATAGCAGAAAGGAGGCTCTGATTTGGCTTTTGGGATGCTGAGTGAACCAGTTGAGGTGTGGGCAGTGCTATCCAAACCTTGAACAAAAGTTTCACTATTGTCTGATGGGTCATCAATACGTCTGTGTATTCCAGTGGGTAGGCGATCATCCTCGGACTCGCTGTCAGAGAGAGACGCTTTCTACCCAGTCCTCCTCATCGGTCTCTCCCTCTCTGCCCAAATCACTATCATTAATTCACTAGCATTTCTAAAGCCTGTTTCAAGTTAGATTTCTTGTGAAAGTCATTTTTCCACATTAGCCAAAGCGTTCTGGGTAGAATGTTAGTTGCCGCAACGGTACCGAAAGTCAATCAACGCGGGAAGAATTTACATTGAAACTAATAGAGCTGTCAAAATGACGGTTGTGGGATATCAAGGTAAAATTAACCCTATTTACGTTTTATGTTTTTATTACTACGTGAAAATGAAGGAAATATAGAAACAGGAAAAGTCAGTTAACATGACCAACATATGATTAATGTAAATAAAGTTCTTCCGCTCTAAATTCTCAGAATCATCAAAATGACAGCCTTGGGAGTTCTAGTGTTATTTGGCATAGACAGGTATCGGGTATTACACAATAACAAAGAAACCAAACGGCCCCCATTCCAAAATGGCAGACCCATTCATCCGTTTCCATGTGCATGTTTTCTAAGCCAAAACGAGGCTTTGTTTTTATCTACTCTTTAAAGCCTCAAACTCAACGCTATTTCTGACATCTTGAATTGAAAAAGCTTCCTGAATGGGAAGCAAAACGTCTTAAAACTTGGAAACAAAGTCCAGTGGATTGATTTTTTTAAAAACTTTTTTGGAAAACTTTTTCCTCATCCTTACCAATGTCGTTTGTCTTCCTTGGAATGAGACGGCGCTCCAAGCGGACCATCTTGATGGCATCCAGCCGGATCTCCAGGATGTTGTTGATGAGCGCCAGAAGGGGCGCCAGCGGGAATGCTGCCACAAAGATGGTGGTGAAACTGAACTGGATCACTGCAGAGCGAAGAGAGGAGTGAGCAACATGAGCAGACAATAAAAGAGCAAGATCGAAAATACTGGACACATCGAAAATAAAGAATGCAAAAACTGTATGGATGGTCAAATGCAGGTCAAAACTATTATCAACCAAGGATAAAGATATTGGCAAATGATCAATGGTTGAAATTCTCTGAGATCAGTGAGAAATTAACTATTAGCTTTAGCTGGGAAGAAGTAATTTATTACGTTTCTGTCTGGAGATGAGAACTGCACTAATAAAAGTGGAATTTGTGTCTTTATTTTTTCTAAAGAGAGAATGCAGATAAAACATGGACACCAGACGTCCCCAGTTTCTGGGGACAATCCCCGTTTTGGAACACCTGTCCATGGCTAAAGCTGTCCCTGGAAATGTCCCTGATTTAACTGCTTTATAAATGAATAGGTAAATGTTGCGTGTAGACTCTTATTATGGTAGAAAGAGCATGAACATGTTTCACGCTTTGTGAGCTCGTAACGTATAGATGAGTAGCAGAGCGCACCACTTTTAAAGTCGCAGGGAAGCGGCTGTGATTCGTCGTCTATCAAGGGGACGGGATTGTTGTGGCGGAAGGTTCACAAGCAAGTTTGATTGTGGCCGTTTTCTCGGAAGCATCGTTGCTAACCAGTTAGCAACTTAGTGCTAGTAGGCCTCCAATGGGAAATTACATTTGGACCAAGTAGCACTAAATTGGTGACTTAGACACAATACTGTCAAGGAATGCTATGGACAGAGGAAACATGCAAGAGGGGGAGAGTTTTGTGTCGGAGGTCGTGGATGAGTCTCCTCAGTCTCCTTTCAATGGAGCGCTCACAGAGCTCAGAGTATTAAGTTAAAAGTTCTCTTTTATGTTGCTTTTGTTCAATAAAAGTATGTTTTACGATCATTTGAGGCGAGGACATTATACTTTAAAGCACCACTATATGGCCCATTTACAGATTTAGTGTGTAATTTAAAAAGAAAATGTTCATATTATTATTATTTTTTTTTCTATCTTTCATTGTATTCTATTCAATTTCTATTGTAATTTTTTATATTTACTTATTATTTTCTATTTAATTTTTATCCCATTGGTGCTGCTTATTTAATTACTAACTATATTTATGTTTGTAAGCTACTTATGTTTAACCATGTGACCTACTTTACTTTTAAGCCTAACTTGTTGTATATTCTTTCAAAGTTTTGTTCTTTTTTTAACTTTACCATATAGAGCGGCAGCCTGAATGTAGGCTTGTATGTATATGTCTGTGTAAGTTGCAAAAATTTAAATAAAAATTAAGTGAAAAAAAACAAAAAAAAAAAGAAAATGTTCCGAAGTTGAGAGGACCGCGGCAACCAGCCGAGCTCCGAGGACCGCTGGCTCTGATGGCATGATGATGATATTTTAGTTTTATTTGGCAAAATGTTCGTTTGCTTTGTGCTTATCCGACTGTGTTGATTATTATTCTCCCACTAAATGTCAGAATGTATTAGTATATAGAGACTATTAATAACAGGAGGTGAAATGCAGCTCCAGACGAGCAGAGCGTGCGATGGCGTCATCAGTACGCTTCTGTTCCAATTGACCCATATTTATGCTGCATGCTCCCGTCCACACTTTCCTGCGTTCTTCTCAAGAACATACTTGGCGAGGACACGAGTCTGTACTCACGTTCTAGTGAATTGAGAAACGGCAAACAATTTGCTTTCTAACTATACACCTATAACGGTCACCACTAATCTGCAGAGATTCTTATTTCAATAAAAAACACGGTCTAAGATATATTAGAAAGAAGAGTTACAACTTAAAGATGCTTCAATGTGACTTTAAACAGTAGATAATTATCTTAAGATTGGATTTTGATTTAATGTTAGCTTCTGCTAATGGTGTTAGCTCTGGCTAATAGAGTAAATAGTAGGTCATAAGCCAATCATATATATATTGGTTTCAGCACAATTCTCATGTATAATGGCTCATTCTCTACATATACACCAAACTCAATACAATACAAACAGCTGTGCTAATGTTAGCCTTCCTGTGTTACTCTGTAGTAAGGTGACCAGATTTCTGAAATCAAATCTGGGGACATTTCTTGCTCGTGGATAAAAATCAATACATTTTATCGAGATGAAATTAGGAAATGGGGACAGTAATGGTTTCATATATTTTTACATATTTATTAATATTTAAACAACAAAAATCAAGTGTAAAAGCCAGGAATGTGCCTTTCCAAACGTTTAGTGTATCCTAAGATTAATAACATGAATAGTGTTATTAGTAGAAAACTAGAACTGTGTCTCTGGGCTGGGGCAAAGTGGTGGGGGTGGGAGCGGAGGGGTCAAGGGTCATTAGCAGGGCTTTCCAATTTTGTCGGGCCCAAAGAGCTCTGCCGCCTCCTAAGGGGAGAGTGACATGAGGAAAAGAAATTTAGAAAAGTAAATACAAACATTTATTCTATGCCTGTGGCTGTCTGTTGAGACAGTTTCCCCACCTCTTCAAAAAAGTGCAACAAATACTTATTCTGTTTACATCTACTGTACATGCCTATAAGAAATATTTTTTTTCTTCATTAACATAAAAAAAACAAGTAGTAGTCAAGCCTGCAGGTAAAGGTTCATATATGTTTCTTACTGTCACCTAGCCACATCAGGGGCCTGTGTGTCTCAAAGTAGCAGGTTCATTTTTCCTACTAACCTGAGTATACAGCCACTCTGTGTTCCACAGCATACTTTGCACACTACATCACTCAATATGTTAGTTTATCACTCAAATCATGTCAACGCTTTATCACTTGAACTTTATTAATACATATTATACATTTTAAATATTTGAAACAGAAATATTAACTGAACAGGGTCTGAGGCAGTGGCCCTGGTAATTTGGGTAAAATAGTATAAGAGAAGACATAGCAAGTAAAAAGCAAAATAACCTTTTTAAATATCTTAAACAAGTTTAACCATTGAACAGCAGAATAGGCTTAACATCAACACAATGTATATAATCCAAGAATAGTCCATATTTATAAACAGCAATAACATATACATATATAATTTCCCAATGGAAATTCTGATTGTAATTTCTCCGTAAAATGACACTTCCTCTTCTTTGAAAGAGCCATCTGGTCATTCAGTCTTGTCTGTTTTCTTCCCTCTACACCTTCGCTTTTGTTTCTAGCCCTCTTTTGACTTCTGCCTGCTCTCTGCTTTACTCCTCAAAGTAAATTTTTCTCCCTTCTTGTCAACCGTTTTTTCTATCAGAGTTCCTAGTTTCCTCCTCTCTCATTCAATCTCCTTTCTGTCTTTCTATCTTCTTCCTCACTCCTCCAGCATCAATCTTACATTATTCTAAAACAGAGACATTATATAATCAAAATCACCACCAAAACAAATTAGGATGTGCAACATGAAAACTTATTATTATTAATATCTCATCTAAATACTAAAAATGCTAATTACCACAATATTAGGAGCTACAAGCAAAAACCACATAATAAATAAACATTAAACAGGTGGTTATCTCTTCCTCCATCATTCTCAGATCATGTAGATCTTGTCTTATTCAGTTCTCCTGTTACTGACTCCTATTTTTTCACAAGGAACGTTCATATATATCCAAACTGAGCAGTAAAAAAGCACACCAAAAACTGGAAGTCTATGCTCATAAATCACAACCATAAATCATCAAAACAAATTGAAATAACTCTACTTATAATAACTATCTGAAATATAAACTAAAGGTCACCTATCCATTCTAAATCATCTTTATACAAACCCTTGTTGATCCCTGGAGAACCAGCGTACCAGATTAGCGCTTTACAAGGAGTTTTCAATCATTTTGCTACATTTTAACCCAGCGTCTTTTACTCATGCTCAACTCGTGGTCTTGTCTTACTTTTTATTACTGTTTTAACCTGGACACAAACCAAACATTCATCACAAGATCAGCCCGATCAGAATAAAATAAATTGATTAACACACTTACCATCACTCAGCGTAGCTCCCCATCAGTTGCCAAAGGTTGTAAAAAACGAACTTCCACTTCTTCTTCTTCTTCTGTTTTAAAAGTGATGCGCTCTTCTTCTTCTTTGTGTTTTAATGGCAGCTGACATCCAAACGGATCATTACCTCCCTTCTAGTGGTGCGCTCTGTTCCTTATCTTTATGTTATCAGCAGCGCAACCAGCTACCGTAATACCTATTTTTGCGCGCAACAGCTCTACCGTAATAACAGTCTACACGCAACATTTTTCGCCTCGGTAAAATCGGGGACATTTCCGGGGACAGCTTTAGCCGGGGACAGGTGGTCCAAAACGGGGACAGTCCCCGGAAATCGGGGACGTCTGGTCACCCTACTCTGTAGGTTTCAGTCCAGTCAGACCCCACCATCTACCCAGCATGCATTGCATAGATGAAAAATTTAGACATTCATGGGTGAGAAATATGGCCGAATATTATCATGCTTTTTATTTATTTTTTTTTATTTTTTTTTTATGTATCATGAACTAACGCCTGGTTCTGCTGGAGGTTTATTCCTGTTAAAACGGATTTTTTTCCTCTCCACTGTTGCTACAAGCATGGTTAGTGTGAGGGATTGCATTCAAGTCAATGAGTCGATGCAATCAACTTTTTTTTCCTTAGATAGAAAACTTTGAATATCTGACTGTATGATCTGGTAGTGATGTGTGTTGTGAATTTGCGCTATATAAATAAACTGAATTGAATTTGAATTGTTAAGTTAATAGAATTACATCATTTATCGCCCAACATGTTCAACTAGTTATGGACTTTAAGAAAGCATAACAGCTTGGGTTTTAAGCCAAGTGGGATAAAGGAAGTATAAAATTATGTGTTTTGTCATTAGTTGACCTGAAGCTCCCTCAGACAGGCCCTATTCATCACTAATCACACATAAGCCGACCTCTGGCCGTACTATAACGGCTCCTTGTTACGGTGTCGTCACCAGACCTACCCATTTCCAAGAACTCATTGAAAAGGCTGAAGGCGTCAGTGTTGCCCAGGTGGTAGTTCCTCAGCCAGTTTCGGATTTTGCAAGTATCACACGGTTCAATATCTTTCCGATTGTCGCGGCAAGCTTTCCTGTAACAGCGACCGCAGTTTCTCTTCAGCCGCTTCGCCGTTTTCTTTCTCACAAAGCCCTTGACCCACCTGCAAGACGAACAGTTGGAGAATTGGAGAAGCTGCTGGTTCCCATACTGGAACCATGTTCAACCAGAACACCCCACTCACGGCACGCTGAACTCCAAGATGTTGTTGATGGTCTGTTTGAGCAACATGATGACTGCCATCTGGATAAAGAGGTCCGTTAAACAGCCACTGGGATGGCACTGCAAGACAGGCAACACGTTAGGGTTTACAATCTATGGTGCTGTTCCAGTACGACAGGGAGAACCAGAGACAGCATCTCACCTCCTCCAGTCTATACCCTGCAAGGCGCACGTAGTTTCCTGGGTGGCCGTTTATCCTGATGGGAGGCAAGAAAACCTTTAGCTTAGTGATTGACCCACAAAGTGGAACCAATAATATTTAAATCTACTTTCCAAATGGATCAAAATCAAATGAAACAGACTAAAATTATCCTTGAAAATATCTGAAACATGTAAAGAAGAAATGGAGCAGGAGGCATGCGTTGTGTTCTTGGTGTGATGGACTTTCCAGCCGCTCCATACCTGCCCAGAAAAAAAGCTATATAGAACAGAGATGAGAAGAGAGTGAAGAACTGGAAGGTGAACATCTTGATGGTGAAGCTTCTCTCTCTGGCAGCGAATGAGTTCGGCTTTTCTGAGGAGAACAAACACACAACAGTGACGACAACGCTCACCCTAAAAGAACCGCTTCGTAAAAGACGTCACGCACACGCCCTCACCTAAATATGACAGCTTCTGGGCCACCCATCTGTTGACCTGCAGATTGCATTAAACAAAAACAACCATGAGGGACGATAAAATAAGCATTAAGATCAGGGTCAAGAAAATGAATAAATGATTTGATCATTAAAATAAATTGTAGAAGGACGTAAACATTTCAGTCACAGGTAGGGTTGCCAACTCCCTGGTAAAACTAAAGCAATTCACTTTAATACAAAATCACAAACTTTGCTGAATAAGATAAGTATCCTAAACATGAGCCTCCCCTGCTTAACTTCAAGCTGTAAAAATGAACATAAAGCAATAAATAAATTGCACAAATAAAGGGCACATTTTTGGTGGAACAGCAAACTTGTAAACATATTTGTGCCGTAAATGCAATGACTGTAGGCTACAGTTGTAAAACAGAAAAAAATAATCATTAGCTCAATGCCACATTATGTGGCGATAGCCTACTTTTTCCATTTGTATTTCCTCTGAGCTCTTGCAGAAGTGAAGAGTTATCTGCCTCCAAAAGTACCATCAGCATTTAAATTACTCCGTTCGACCCCCCACAGTAATACGGGACAAAGTATTTTCCACCAAATACGGGACAGGTTCTTCTATTTCTAAATACGAAACAATTCCGTTTTTCAAGGGACGGGTGGCAACCCTAGTCACAGGTTTGTGGTGTTGAAGTGAGTTCAGACTGAACGCGGTGTCCGTGGTGATTTCCCCGAGCATCGCGATGAGTTCACCGTTCTGCTTTTTAGATGCAGGGGAATGCTTAAAGTTAATGCCTTACCCAGGTGGAAAAACTGAGCGAAAAGACTGAAATGTTAGTGATTTATTAGCGCAGGCAAAATGATAATTTGTGCTCCTTTGGATTCACAGATTTTAAAGATAATTTTTTTAGGTCATCCAGAGGTCAACATCCCCCTATTAAGCCCTGAAATGAACCAAACTGGTCGACTTTTTTACTTTAGTCTAATTTTTGCAGCTGAAACTGTCATTTGTTTTTGTTTTTTAAATATAATTTTTTTTATTTTGGCCGATTACATCACCATTAAACCAGATGTTTATATTGTCCATTTTCAATATAAAGTTATTGCATAGCATAACATGGCATTCCTGTGCATTGACTATAGCAGTGGGCATGTTTACCTTATTTTTAGTGGCTGGAATAATGTTTCACAATAGTCAGTAGTTTATCAGCCTCCCAGATCCTTCACTTTCAAACTGTTACCCCTGGAAACCTCATGAAATTTCCTGTCAAGGTGTCGCTGTCGGCATTTCACAATAAAAGCACAGGGGAAACTTAATGTTAGAGACTTCTGCTAAATTGTTCTCCATGCACATCTGAATCGGCTTGAAGAGACCATGGATTCATTGAAGATAAATTTCTTTTTATTTTATTTTATGTTTTAAATAACTGTTACATCTGTTTATTTCTATATCTGTTCACTCTGCTGTGTGGGTCAGCCAAAATGGACGTTTCTATGCATACATATGGTGGCCAGAGCATCACCTTATATGGTAATGCTGTAGGCTGTGTGAGAAGGCCTAGATGCTGACTGGGGGCTTTTGGGTGAGACACTTCCTGGATGACTTTTAGGTAAAAAGGAAAAGTGGGCAGAAGCTCTCTACCTTTCAGTGGGTTCTTCCCTGAAATGGCCAATAGGAAGGCCTGATAGAAGGTGAGATCTTCCTCTGAAATTTGTGCTTGTATCAATGATTTTGTTAAATATGACTGGAATAAATTCTGTTAATGCTTAAATGTGTTTCCTCCTTTGTGCACGCCATCTTCATCGGATCGGGTAATAAGAGGTTCTACATCCACAAGGTTTAAACAGCCAAGAAGTGCTAAAAAATTAGATGACTTTGGTTCTTCCAGAGCTGAATCTGGATGAATGTCTGATTCGGCAGGACTTCCTTGTAGCTCCACCTGCACAGAATAAGCATGTGTCCTGGAGAGTGGCAGCAACTGACCGGGCTCTGAGCTGGAGGTAAGGGAGGACAACAGTCCTATCATCTCTGCAGATTATCTGTTGCATCTGTTGCAGATTATGTTGTCCTGTTGGCCTCATCAAACCCTCCTGGTGGCCCTGAGGCGGTTTGCAGCCGAGTGTGAAGCGGCCGGAATGAGGAGGCCATGGTTCTCCACCGGAGAAAGGTGGACTCCCCTCTTCAGGTCGGTGGGGAGTCCTTGTCTCAAGTGGAGGATTTCAAGCACCTCAGGGTGTTGTTCACGAGTGAGGGACGGATGGAGTGTGAGATCGATATGCGAATTGTTGGTGTGGCAACGGCAGTGATGCGGTGGCTGTATTGGACTGTCGTGGTGAAGAGGGAACCGAGTCGAGGGGCAAAGCTCTCCATTTGCCGATCGATCTGCGATCCCACCCTCACCTATGGTCATGAGATCTGGGTAATGACTGAAAGGACAAGATCGCAAATACAAGCGGCCGAAATGAGTTTCCTTCGCAGGGTGGCTGGGTGTACCCTGGAGGAGGTGTGTGTGTGGATTGGGACGTCTGGGCATCTGTACTTAGACATCTATAAAGTGTGAATAAAGCGTCAGACGTACCTTGGTCATTATCTGAATGGTGACGTAATGAACCACTGCGCCCAGCAGCACAGCCAGAGTCTTTGAGTGTTCGCTCATAAATTCCCACTTGCTTTCTGACATCAAGGGGGCGGCAATCACTCGAACCACCACAAGAAAATGAGTGATGCCGATGATCACCATCAGCTGTGGAACAAAAACACAAAAACAAACATTTAGCTCATTTTTTCTCCATTTAAACTATTCTATGATAACATTGAGTCAATCAGAACTGTTAATCAGAATAAAACAGCAGAATAAGGTGACCTACTATAAAATAGTCCCTAAGCATCAGGTTCTTACATGCACATCATCAATGTCTTCTTTCTTTACAAGTTCAAATTCTGGTGGTTCGCTTGATGTTGACATTTCACCTTTCTCCCACAAACGGCCAACGCAGACACCGCATTAAAATCCCCCCAGTCCACCTCACAGCGTCATCCATCAGTAGCCGGTTACAGAATATGGTGTAACAGAATTTCACTCAGTGGGTCATGGTGCTGAATGAGATATGGAAACCCTAACGCCATTTAATTTAATTTATTTGCTAATTTTATTTTAATTTACTTGATTAATTTAGATTGGGCAACGAAATGGACTCTCTGCATTTAACCCATCCTCTTTGGGAGCAGTGGGCTGCCATTGTGCAGTGTCCAGGGAGCAATGTGGGCTTAAGGGTCTTTGCTCAGGGACCCAGAGTGGCAGTCTGTGGGAGTGGGGCTTGAACACAGAACCTCAAAATTCCAAGCTCTAAGCTCTATAACCACTAGGACCCCACTTCCCAAAGTGGACTGATTTTATCAATATAAAATACAGGCAAATAGTGCAATAAAAAGAATATTATAAAAAAGACAGAAACAGGCTGTGCAGTTACATTTTTACACAGAAATAGGAGTATTGCATGCAAGAATATTGCAGATAGTGTTGTAGAAATGCACAGAGTGTATTCATTGTTTATGTTATTGTTGGTGATTACAGTCTACGTGAGGCGTTCAGGGCAACAACAGCTCTCGGACAATTCATGGCAGTTTAAATATAAAGGACAAATCATACTCTGCCCTAAAACAAGTAAACTCGAAAGTCAAAAAGACCTCTGGGATGTTTTACAGGACAGAAGAGTCTGCATAGCTCTAAAGTAAAAAAACCCCATAAACAAATAAAGCTTTTTGCACAGGATTCTGGCATCAAATGAATGAAAACTATTGAAACAGGAGAGATGATCCTCTGCTAGAAGCAATGAAAAGACATTAAGAACTTCATGAATTATCGGTCAATGCAGAACCACCACCTGCAGATAAATGATCACTGCGTAACTCCGTCCGTCCAGGAGGCAGCGGTAAGAGCTGCTGTTCTGCAGCAACATCTGGGGAGTATTTGATTGAAAGAAGCTTTTTTTTCCCCCCACTGCTCTTCATCCCAACCGCGCCTGCTTACAGTTCTTCAGTCAATCCGTCTGTCAGACCTACTCTAATCATCAAATTTGCAGCCTTTGCATCGGTCTGGGGCATCAACTACCATTAATCTGAAGGCACTTTAATATAAAAACACTGTGTGAAGCACTTATTTTAATTCCATTAATTAATTAATTAATAGAACTTGAACCACAATTTGTTAGTAAATTTAAAATCAGAGGTGGGATGGATGAGGAATTAATCTGAACGTTTGTGTGTTTTCCAGAACCTGTCTTCATCCATTTCTACAAACAAACTGAGCTACGACTTGAGATAGTTTGCCATTTTATGCTCTTTGTTTAAAAAAAACAATCTGACTTTATGACCCGACTCAACTGTCTCTGCAAAGAGCCTTAACGTTATGAATCAGAGCTATAGAAATAAACTTATTTACTGGAATAATTTAGCTTGGTGTCATTGTATCCTAAAAGGGTAACTACAATTATCCTGCTATTGTCAACTTAAAATATATATAAAAATATACAATCTATGTTATTATGTAAGTATTATTTACTATCAGTCTAAATAGCTTTACCTGTTAAATAGATACTTTTAAATGTGGGTGCTCTCACTACCCACTATGCTCAGTGGAGCAGTGGGTAGCAGTGCTTCCTTACAGCAGGAAGGTTCGATTCCCGGCCCGGTGTTTTTCTGCATGGAGTTTGCATGTTCTGCCTGAGCATGTGTGGGTTCTCTCTTCCTCCCACAGTCCAAAAACATGACTGTTCGGTTAGTTGGCTTCTCTAAAGTCCCCTTAGGTGTGAATGTGTGTGAATGGTTGTGTGTCCTTTTTGTCTCCGTTTCCCTGCGATGGACTGGCGCCCGTAGACATCGGGATATAGACACCAGCAGCCTTCGCGACCCCAACTGGGATAAAGCGTGACCCAGCATTATGAAAAGCATCACTTCTGTCAGATTACCTGGTCCCTGTTGGTGTATTCACAGGAAGTCTTGGATCAGTAATTCCAACACAAGCCTGTATTTTACTCAGCTTTACTCAGAAACGATAAACGGTACGAACATCAAAACATGGTCAAATTTGGTCTTTGCTCTAGATCACAGCAGAGCTGCAGAAAAGTTTCTTCTTTGTCCAAATTAAAAGCTGAGTGAAATCCGGTTTTATTTTGATTTATGCTTTGGAACATAAATGCTATAAAACTAAAACTGGCTTCAACATGTTGTTCTCAATTGCTGCTTTGTTTTGCTTCAATTTAACTTTCACTTTTTGTAGCCAGAGAAATCAGAGTTTTTCTCAGAATCTCTAAGCTCCACCCTGAAGATGCAGAGCAACCAGGACCGGTTCCTGACAAAGAGCAGAGCCTCTGGTTCCTTTGCTTAGATGGGAGATCAGGGATCTTCACTTCACCCTGAAGAGGGTCTCTGCTGTGAAAATATTTTTCTACATGAAGACTTTTGGAGGTCAAAGAATCCCTCATTAACCATCAGATGCCCAAATTGAGCCATATAGGGTTAAAATAAAGGAATTAATAAAACTAAGCCTAAAAGGAAGGAAATAAATGGCAGCAAAAATGTATTTCCTTCTTTTCTTAAATCAATTGGAAGGCCCGTATTTTGGTTGAAAATAATCAAAACCCTTCAGAAAACGGTCGGTATTTCGTTTCCTCAGCAGAAACTGGATAATCCTGTGATACCAAGCAGTAACTGGTCTGTTTCCAACTCCTCCCAGTGACATTTAAATGCACCTCTGAATGACGGATGGTAAAACCTCCAACCCCTCTATAAACAGCTGTGTGACGTTGCGGATGCTTCAGGTATGAGCTGGAGCGTCACAGCCAGTCAGTCATCTGTTTGGACTTGTTTGTGTATTTATGGAGGATCGTGTTGCCTCATCTGACCTATTTACTCTGAGGACCTTAGAGGTATATATACACATAATATTTTACGTTTTGTTAAATGGTTACAGAAAAGTAACTTGACATTGTTAGCAGTTTTCTATCCCATGCAGGTAATCTGTAGCTTCCCACTGCCTGTGCCATTGTAAAGCATTGACACCTATTGTGCCAAGCTTGATTTATTATTTTTTTTTTTTTTGAGGCCTACATCCTTTGTCATCTTAACCGTCAACAAGCTGCAGCCCCGAATTTTTCTATTGGAATTTGCATTTTCCCCCCATTCTCTAGCCTTTTCTTACCCTCAGGCTGCTACGCCTCTTTCCAAACATACGTCTTTACAAATAACCAGAAGCAGTTCTGCATTTTTGTACGGAACCAAACACGCCAAACCACATATATCATCTAGAGCTGAGTTCCTGTTTGGACCTGTTCACTTCCTGTCTGGATTAACTGAGTGTGCAACTGAGTGTGCAGCTGTTCAGAGGATCTCCATCTGAAGTTAAGTTATTTTCTCTGTGATATCTCTGTATCTAAGTAACTCTAACTGACTACTTTAAAACATAGCACCTTCTGCTGCACTTTTCTACTGAGCACTTGTCAGTTTCACACGGTTTTATTTCTGATAGCAAGAAGTAGCTAGCCTAGGCTAGCGCTAGCTTAGCATTGCTATGGCTTCTCTCTCTCCCTCCCTTGACTCTTTTCCAACTCTTCCTTCTTCCTCTCCTCTCTCCTGCTCTCTGTGTCAGATGTTCAGTTATTCCTCTGCCTCCTTTAGTGATAATGGGATGTGTAATAAGTGTAGTATTTTTGTAGCTTTGGAGGCGAGGGTGTCAGAGTTAGAATCCAGGCTTCAGGCTGTTGAAGTAGGCCCCCCAAGTAGCTGTCCTCCAAAAGTGCCTGAGCAGCCAGGCGATTGGGTAACTGTACGCAGAAAGCGTAGTCGTGGATCTCTGCCCACTGGTCACCCCCAACCCGTTCACGTTTCTAACCGGTTTTCCCCACTCAGTGACACACCCACTGAGAAGCCCACTCTGGTGATTGGCAGCTCCATAGTCAGAAACGTGGCATTAGAGGGACCATAGTCAAATGTTTGCCGGGGGCCAGAACGGGCGACATCAAATCCTACCTGAAACTACTGGCTAAGGATAAGGTTAAATACAGTAAGATTGTTATTCACGCTGGTGGTAATGACACCCGGTTACGCCGATCGGAGGTCACTAAAATTAGTGTTGCTTCGGTGTGTAAGTTTGCCAAAAAAATGTCGGACTCCGTAATTTTTTCTGGTCCCCTCCCTGATCTGACCAGTGATGACATGTTTAGCCGCATGTCGTCATTCAACCGCTGGTTGTCTAGGTGGTGCCCTGAAAACAACGTGGGCTACATTAATAATTGGCAATCCTTTTGGGGAAAGCCTGGTCTGATTCGGAGAGACGGCATCCATCCCACTTTGGATGGTGCAGCTCTTCTTTCTAGGAATCTGGCCACATTTATTAGTCCTCCAAAACCCTGACCACCCAGGGTGCAGACCAGGAAGCAGAGTTGTAGTTTAACACACATCTCTGCAGCTTCTCTACTGTTACCCACTCTTTACTCCATCCAGACAGTGTCTTGCCCACGACCAAAATCTAATAAATTAGCAAAGATTCCCAAAGGAGTAAATCATGATAATCTAATTAAAATCAAAATAACTCCAATTGGGGAAAAAGTTAAAACAATTAAATGCGGTCTGTTTAACATAAGATCGCTTTCCTCTAAAAGTCTACTAGTTAATGACTTGATTTGTGATAATCACATTGACTTGTTTTGCCTTACAGAAACCTGGCTGCAGCAAGAGGATTATGTGAGCATAAATGAGGCAACTCCTTCAAGCTATTTAAATTTTCACATCCCCAGAAGTTCTGGGCGAGGAGGAGGAGTAGCAACAATCTTCCAGTCTGACTTACTGATTACTCCCAAAACAATTAATACCTACAACTCTTTTGAACATTTAACCCTTAATTTCCCTGATCCGAATTTAAAGGCAAGAAAAACTCTTCTTTTTGTAACTTTGTATCGTCCACCAGGTCCTTACTCTGAATTTTTAGATGAGTTTTCAGAGTTCCTTTCTGATTTGGTATTAAATACTGACAGGGTCATCATAGTGGGAGATTTTAACATCCATGCTGACATTGAAGGCGATAGCTTAAGAGCAGCCTTTAATGCTATCTTAGACACTATTGGCTTTGTTCAAAATGTGAATAGTCCCACGCATTCTCATCTTCATACTTTGGATCTTGTGCTGACATACGGCATAGAATGTGAAGAAATAACAGTATTTCCTCACAACCCTGTCCTCTCTGACCACTTTCTAATAACCTTCAGGATTACTTTAACAGAGTTCTCCTTCCCCAAAAGAAGGTTCAATTTTAGTAGATCTTTATCAGATAGTGCAGTTATAAATTTTAAAGAATCTGCTTCACTTTCTCTCTGCTCTGTGTCACTGAGCAGTGCTGCAGAGTGCAAAAGCTTAGCTTATTCCCCTTCACAGGTTGATGATTTTGTTGATGGGGTTGCTAGTTCTCTGCGTATTGCCTTAGACAACGCAGCTCCTTTGAAAATGAAAACTGTTAAAAATAGAAAGCTTGCTCCTTGGTTTAATGCAGAGCTGCGTACTTTGAAGCAAAATGCTAGGAAACTGGAGAGAAAATATCGCTCCACAGGCCTGCGAGAGTCCTTCCTAGTCTGGAAAAATGGTTTACTGCTGTATAAGAGGACCCTTTGTAAAGCAAGAGCAGCATACTTCTCCTCATTAATAGAGGAGAATAAGAATAATCCTAGATTTCTTTTTAATACAGTTGCCAAACTCACCCAGAGCCATAGCTCTGTTGAACCGTCCATTCCACCTGCTCTTAGCAGCAATGATTTTATGGGATTCTTTATAAATAAGATTGATCTTATTAAAAATAAGATCATAAGCACTCCTCTATCCGCGATTGTACCTGAGGTAGTCATGGAATCTGAACCGGGTTTAGACTGCTTTGATCCAGTTGAACTCTCTGAATTAGCAAAATTATTGTCTTCATCTAAGCCTTCAACTTGTATGTTAGATCCAGTTCCAACCAGGTTATTTAAGGAGGTATTCCCTTTGATCTCCTCCTCCATTTTAGATGTGATTAATCTATCTCTGTTACAGGGATATGTACCTAAAGCTTTTAAGATTGCTGTAATTAAACCTCTGCTTAAGAAACCGTCTCTTGACCCAGATGACTTGGTCAATTATAGACCTATATCCAATCTTCCTTTCTTATCCAAAATTCTTGAGAAAGTAGTTGCCAAACAAGTTTGCGATCACTTCCACCATAATTAACTTTTTGAAGAGTTTCAGTCTGGCTTTAGAGCTCATCATAGCACTGAAACAGCTCTGGTGAAAGTCACTAATGATATTCTCATGGCCTCAGATAATGGACTTGTATCTGTGCTCGTCCTGTTGGATCTTAGTGCTGCATTTGATACAGTTGACCATAATATTCTTTTAGAAAGACTTGAATATTTTGTTGGAATTAAAGGAACAGCACTAGACTGGTTTAAATCTTATCTATCTGATCGAATTCAGTTTGTTCATGTTAATGATAGATCTTCAACACGCTCAAAGGTTACCTGTGGAGTACCACAGGGATCAGTGCTAGGACCAATTCTCTTTACTTTATACATGCTCCCAATTGGTAGAATTATTAGACAGCATGGGATTAATTTCCACTGTTATGCTGATGATACCCAGCTATATCTGTCTATAAATCCAGATGAAGCTAACCCATTACATAGATTACAGGCATGTCTTGAAGACATAAAAACCTGGATGACTCTTAACTTTCTGCTTCTGAATGCGGACAAAACAGAAGTTATAGTCTTTGGACCAGAGTCTCTGAAAAAGAAACTGATTAGCCAGTCACTTCATTTGGATGGGATTAAACTGATTTCAGATAATAAAGTAAAAAATCTTGGTGTTATTTTTGATCAGGACCTGTCATTTAAATCCCATATCAAAGAGGTTTCTAGAATTTCCTTCTTTCATCTGATGAACATTGCAAAAATTAGAAATATCCTGTCCAGGGGTGATGCTGAGAAACTAGTCCATGCATTTGTTACTTCAAGGCTGGACTATTGTAATTCTTTACTATCAGGAAGTCCACAAACTGTAGTTAAAAGCCTTCAGCTGATCCAAAATGCTGCAGACAGAGTTCTAATGAAAATGAAAAAGAGAGATCATATCTCTCCTATCCTGGCTTCTCTTCATTGGCTTCCTGTTAAATCAAGAATAGAATTTAAAATCCTCCTTCTCACATATAAAGCCTTAAATGGCCAAGCTCCATCTTATATCAGAGATCTGATTGTTCCTTATGTTCCTAACAGAGCACTTCGCTCTCAATCTGCAGGTTTACTAGTGGTTCCTAGAATTTCTAAAAGTAGAATGGGAGGCAGGTCTTTTAGTTATCAGGCTCCTCTCCTTTGGAACCAACTACCAGTTTTAGTCCGTGAGGCAGACACCCTGTCTACTTTTAAGGCTAGGCTTAAAACTTTCATTTTTGATAAAGCTTATAGTTAGGGTGGCTCAGGTTATCCTGAGCTATCTCTATAGTTATGCTGCTATAGGCTTAGACTTTTGGAGGACATAGGGACCCCCATTTCATCATTCTGCTTCATTCTTTCTCTGTTCTCCTATTCTGCAGAATCTGTTAGTTCAATCTCTAACCTTCTGTTCTCTCTGCTTTTCCTCAGAGTAGCTTTGCCTCGTCTGTTCCTGTTTGGCTGTGACGTCATCCTGGAAAAAAACATCAGCTGTGCTGCTTCTATCAACACCCTTGTTAATAGATGTTGGAGATCGGCCTGTTTTCCAGTGTGGTCCTGTTTCTCTGACCGTGACTGAGTGGATGTGCTCTCTTCGTCCTCTGGCATGGGAGCTGCCTTGGAGCTCGTCTGCCTGGCTGTGTGTTTCCTGGACGGGGCCGCCTTTTACAGCTGCTTTTTGTATCTCTGCTTCTGTCTCCTTGAACCCCAGTCGGCCTCGGCAGATGGCCGCTCACACTGAGCCTGGTTCTGCTGGAGGTTTCTTCCTGTTAAAAGGGAGTTTTTCCTCTCCACTGTCGCTACAAGCATGCTTAGTGTGGGGGATTGTATTTGAGTCAATGAGTCAATGCAATCAACTGGTTTTCCTTAGATAGAAAACTTTGTATCAATTTGACTGTATGATCTGGTTGAACTGTAAAGTGCCTTGAGATGACATGTGTTGTGAATTTGGCGCTATATAAATAAACTGAATTGAATTGAATTGAATATATCTGATATAACATATCTGTTAGTACTATTTTACAAACCTATTTCTTTGAAAAAAAGAAGAGAATTTTAATGCTACTGATATCGCATTTAATTTTTAATACCATTCAAGGCCTTAATTCTAAAAAAATTGTATTTAATGACTTATAATGCTTTCTTAAGGACCTGCGGAAACCCTGGATTAACTGTAGGAACAGATTTTCTTCATAATATAAAAGTCCAGAAAATATGATCCACTTTCTGTAGATGAAGTCATTTACTTATAAACTTGAGCAGTTCCACTTTCATTTTCATTAACCGACCTCTCGGCTGAACGATCCACTCTGCTCAAGATTGGCGTGGACTCTGTGCGGCGAGCGGAGTGCATTTTAGAGAAACGCTGAGCATCAGAGCATCAGGGTCGGTTTAGAAATGGACAGAGGCGCCCTGATTGGAAGCGCTCTGGCGTACTAGAGCTGCTGCTATCAGCTGTGAAGGCGCAGTGCAGCCACACCACGGCGCTTCCACATCTAGTGGAACCGGGGGGTTAGAGTGAGGCATGCACTGCTCATGGTTGGGTTATTCCCAGGGTTAAGGGTTAGACACGGTTGAAAAATAAACACATGGTCCTCACTACATATAGCAAGATGAGAATATGTGTGTGTGTGTGTCTTACCATGACTGTTACTAGGATGAGGACCAGAGCGCTGCGCTTGTAAGAGTGCGTGAACTCCTTTAGCTGACAGTCTGGATCGTTGACTATTTTCATGATCATTTCCTCCTGATGAGCGAGAGACAGAAGGATAAAGGTCAAAGGTCATAGTTAATGGTTTTAAATCAACAATAATGCGTCAGCAGAGCATCTACTGTATAGCAGAATAACAGCACTAATCTTACTGAAAAAAAGTAGATCAAATAATTGTGTAATACATTTCTGATGAGTCCAAAATAAATATTTACTTCTGGTTATGATGGCATGAAAGGACTCTGCACAATTAAGAATATTTTGGAGTCAGATGAGGAGGAGTATAGGCATCGCCAGATCTTAGTAGCCATAAACCTTATATACATAGACGCCTCGTTGGACAGAGTCGGTCTATGCTGAAAATGAGTCGAAGCGTCCGCCATGTTGAATGTGTCAAATCTACTGGCACTAATCTCAGAGTTTACTTTATATTCATAATATTTCTATGTTTGTAATCTTACGAGTTTATTTTCATATGCCTTTGGCTTCATTCTCCTGACTTTATTCTCGTAAAGTATAAAAATAATTAAAAGAATATAACCTGGCCTTATTACTCCAGGAATGAAAAACTTCTAATAACTGTGACTATTCTGGAAATGGCCGCCCCCCAATTGTCATAATATGACGTTTTTGTCTTTTTTTATATTATATATATATATATATATATATATATATATATATATATATATATATATATATATATAGATATCTATATATCTGTATATATATATAAAAAACTGTTTTCTCACCCCTCGTGGGGTGGTATGTGTCATCCTCAAGCTCGGGTCCTCTACCAGAGGCCTGGGAGTTTGAGGGTTCTGCGCAGTATCTTAGCTGTTCCTAGGACTGCGCTCTTCTGGACAGAGACCTCTGATGTTTTACCTGGAATCTGCTGTAGCCACTCTCCCAGTTTGGGGGTCACAGCCCCCAGTGCTCCAATTACCACTGGCACCACTGCTGCTCTCACTTTCCACATCTTTTCTAGCTCCTCCTTCAGTCCTTGGTATTTCTCAAGCTTCTCGTGTTCTTTCTTCTTGATGTTGCTGTCGCTTGGGATTGCCACATCTATCACTACTGCCTTCTTCTGCTGTTTGTCCATCAACACGATGTTGATATATATATATATATATATATAATTTTTTTAATAATTTCATTTCACATTAAAATGTAAAATATTTCAAACTAGATCTATATATATTTTTTAGATGTGCAAGATAAATATTTCATCTTTAATTACCAGTCAAGCGTCATTCCTTTTTTCAATCGGATCTGTGACATATTTCCGCCTTAGGGCTAAAAAATCTTTGCCCATAGACTCTCGTTAAAAGTTGTACATACGCAGTAGTGACTCTGCAATATAAAGGTATAGGAGAGCTCAAAGAGCAGCTCTGGTGCGGCAAAAAATATCTTTTTTGTAAACCAAAGGGAGACCCCAGCAAAGTTCTGATCGGTGAATAATATCAGGGTTTAAGCAGCGAGTTCTGGTTGCAGATTAATTGTTTAGTTTCTCCCTCCATATCGTGCGGATCACTAAAAGGATGTGGTGTTCATAAATGTACAACATGACGCAATGAATAATGTCCATCAACTAGAGGACGTTTGTTCACGATCTGATTACAAATGTTAATGAATAAGTTGAAGAAATGCTGTACCTCTTCATCACACCAGTCAAAAACCTTCCATTTAGAAACATATTTGGCTCTGTGTCTCTTCCACAGCTCTAGGAACAGAGTGGCTAAAAAAAACAACAACAAGAAAATCACACAAATGAAGCAAAAGCAGCCGAACTGGAAAAACGTGTTAAAAATCGACCACTGACCCCAGATGGCCATGAACATGGCGAATGCCACGGTGCCCTCATTATCAAACAAATGGCTGACCTGCAAGAAATAAACACAGAACATGAGCTCTGAGGCAGAAATGCATTTTAATGAACAAAGGGGAGCGAAAAGTAGTAGATTATCTGTGCAAATGGTCAGTTAACTAAGTTCACAATAAATGTCTACTATATATTCTCCTCTCTAGATAGTGATTAAGGGATTCAAGGGTTAGGGCGGACGTTTGGACACAGTCATTCTCTTCACTTCTGGGGGGGGGGGGGGGGGGGGGGGGGGGGGGCTTTCCCAGAGTGAGGAGAGAACGAATTTCTATTGGTCTGTCCGAAATCAGCAAACGTTTTTCTGGGCTTGAAGTGAAGAGAATGTGAGCTGAGAAACACAGTTCGAGAATTAAAAAAGTGAAAATATAACAGTGATAGAAATATAATTTTGAAATAAGGAAATATTTTGAAAAAAATACAAACTGAAATAACATTGGAATATATTTAAGCTGTTGAAAAATATTTAAAAATATTTAATTTGAGAATTAAGAATCTTAGAAAAAAAAAGATAATTTAAAAAACCTAAAGGCAGATCCCTTCAACCAAACATTTTCAACAATAAAAAAAGTGTTCAAATGCAATTTTTTGAGTCTCAAATATTTTATTTGCATTCAAATCTATTTTCTATGATTCAAAACATTTATCTTTTCATTGAAGTTACTTTTTTTTATTGATTCTGTTGTTTGAAGCAACTTGTTTTGTGATTGAATAATAAATAGACAAATGTCCTACCCATTATATGGTCCAATCAAAAAACAATGTTACTTCAATTAAAAAAGGTACTTTAAGCAAAAAAGACTGCACTTCTATCAAATACAACATTTTCAATCAAAGAAAAGCAGTGTTCAAATGTATTTTTTTGAGTCTAAAATATATTTTTGCATTTCATACTTTTTTTCTTTGATTTAAAAGTTTTTTTTTCATTGAAGTGAAGATTTTTTTTATTGAAAAGATGTTTTTTGATTGAAGCAACCTTTTTTTGATTGAATAATAAAGAAACAAATCTACCTTCATACGTAAGAAAGATTTTGAAAAACATAATTAAAAATGTAAATAAATTCAATCTTTGAGAAAATTTAGAAAACAAAAATAGAATGTGAAATATTTGAATAGATTATATCTATCAAGAATTTTTAAACATATTTGAAATATTAAAAAATAAATTACGTTACAAATGAAAAACGAAACAAGAAAAGTTACTCTCAAAACTTGCATTTGATAAAAAATTTTTTTTTTTTTTTTTTAAATTTCATTTTTGGAATCCTATTTTTTTTTTTTTTCATTTCATTCTACGTGTTTGCAACAGTAATGGAACAAAATTAATTCCATGTTTTCTTTTTACCATAAACATATTTCTGAACAGATAAACTTGGCACATTCAGCAACCTATAGAACGTACCAATGATAAACCAGACAGGAGGTCAGTGACTCCCTAACTGATATCTTTCTATTCTCCATGAGGCGGCTAAAGACGGCAACGTTATCTCTGCATTCATTTACTCATTTACCATCCAGCTCCTTAACTTGCTGGTTTCTTTGGTGGCGTTTCAGCTGAAACAGATGAGCAGGAGGTTCAATGAGCTCACCTTGGCGTAGCTGCACGTATCTGAGAGGTTCCATATATCGCACCTCTTTTCACAGGGAGGACACATGGTGATGTTGGAGTTACACACCTCATCTCTTTGGAAAAACAGATTATTTCATTTCAAGAAAACCCTTCAGAAAAGATGTTTGATGTTTCTTTTTTTAAGTGAGATTTCTACATTTAATACTTATAAAATTAGCATGAAAGTGTTTATAATTAGTGCATAGCTGTGACTCGTCATGGCTCACATGAGAGGGCTGGTGTTGAAAAAGGCCAGAGCATAAAGGAAGACGACTATGCCCAGAACGGATGCTGGAACCAGGAGTTTGGTGTACCAGCCCAACCACAGGTAGTACAGCGCCACCTTTTCCCCAAAGTAACACCTGCAAGAAAAGCAGGTGATGAATAAACATTCCTCACAAAAACAGGAACTAAGGTAGGCTACATCAAGAACAAAACAAAGAAGAATTAAATAATAAAAAATAGAAAAATCTGACTAAAGCCGGTTTGTCTACCAAGGGGATTCCAACTAAACCCAATAAATTCAGTGCATTGGAAAATCCATCTAGAAATGTAAAAAAGAGAAGTAAAATGTATTTATTTTTTCTTAAATTAAGTGTACTTAAGTGTATTTTGAGTAGATAAGTGAGATAGTTTGCCAATGGAATGAGTATTTTTACACTTAAAATAAGATAATTAGATAAAATGCACTTGAAATAAGACATTGCAATTGTTTTTTTATTATTTTAAATGTAAATTGTCTATTTCCACTGGCAAAATGTCTCTTTTACCTCCTCAATCCAAGAACAAACGCACTTATTTTAAGAAAAAATGACTTATCTAGATATCTCATTTACCTACTCAAATTAAGGGTAAATACACTTCATTTAATTTAAGAATTGTTTTTCTTATTTCTAGATCGTTTTCCAGTGTACCTTTTTTATTTACCTTTAAAGGGAAAAAAAAGAAACCTGTCCTGTTTAGTACCTTTGATCATCAGGATATGTTTATCTAAAGTCCAGCCTCAGATTATGTTATAAGGGAAAGAGAAATCATTATAAACAGTTTTCAGTTAATTATTCACTGGACTGACGGAGCTCTAGGCTGAAATATGGAATCATTAAGTCTGATTATTAGAGACTGAATCAAAAGGTTAAAAAACTGAATCAAAAGGTTAAAATCAGGATCCAAAGATGGCTGTTCTTGATTTTGATCTTTCATCATTATTATCTTGCCTTAGATGTATTTCAGGTTAATTATTTCTAAACAGTTTCAGTTGTGATGCAGAAATAAACAGACAGGTAGGAACTGACTTGATTTCGTCGAAAGGTTGTCCTTTATAGAAATTCCCCCACTTAGCCCAACTCGCCCGCAGCATCTTCTGTTCCTTTTTCTGAGAAACAGAAAATATAACAAGAAAGAAAAACACATTGTAAAACAAATTCATACACTGCAAAAAATATAAATCTCAATAAGTTATTTTTTCTTAAAATAAGTGTGTTTTTCCTTGATTTGAGGAGATAAGTAAGACACTTTGCCAATGGAACAAGACAATTTCCTTTTAAAATAAGAAAAAACTATTTTATCGTCTTATTTCAAGTAAATATTATCTAACTATCTTATTTTAAGAGTGAAAATACTCATTCCATTGGCAAATCATCTTATTTACCTGCTCAAATTAAGGCTAAATATACTTAATTTAAGCCATTTTTTACTTATTTCTGGATTGTTTTTGCAGTGTAGGAAGACTCATCCAGAACAGCAGCTATGGGGCAGAAAAACTGACAATAAAACGCTATGTGAACCTGTTTGTTTGAATTTGTAAATGTAAGTCAATTAAAATTATATTTGTATAATTTTCCTGTTAATAACTCATGGATATATGTTTTTTTCCCCTGTCTGTTAAAATAAAGATTTAAAACTTTATTTTTAAAACTTTATTCTGAATTTAAGTTTAAACTTGGCAAAAATACAACTAGGAATCACAGATTTACAACTGGGAATAAATTTAAAAGGTAGGATTTAAAATTTAAGGTAGAAATAACTAATTAAAAGTAAGAGTTATAAATTTATACATTTATGAGTAGGAATCAGATATTTACGAGCAGGAATAACAAATAAAAAAATTAGATATGGTACATTGTAAAGTAGGAATCACAGATTTATGAGTATGAATCTTAAAGGCTATGGATTTCGATTCAGAAATTTGGGATTTCTACTTTGTAAATTCCATTTGTAAATTTTCCACCTTTATTTGAAACGATGAAATGTTGGTTGTCACGCGTATGTATTACACAACAACAAAGAACAAATCAAATGTTTATTACATACATTAACTTATATTTACAAATTTAGACACCTAGACACATTTTATATGATGGTCATCTTACACAATAAAAAATAAAAAAAATAAAAATATTATATATATATATATATATATATATATATATATATATATATATATATATATATATATATATATATATAGAAAAATTCAGTTTAAAGAAAGAAAGATTTTCTATCCTTCTGCCTGGGATGTTGGGGTATGACGGAGTATTAGGGCCAGGCTACAGATTTTTTTTCTTTCTTCTATTTCGAAAATAAAGTCGTAATATTAAGAGAATAAGGTCCTAAAATTACGAGAAGCAAGTTGTATTTTATGAAAACTCTTACAAGAAGCACTTCCTTCCCTAAAATTAGCAATGTGGAGCATAATGTGAAATTAAACTTTGGCTCTGGTTTGACAAATAAGGAAATCTTTAAGCAGCAGCATCAAATTGGTAGAGCTGGTCGGCCATCATCTGCTGGTCGGAGCTCGTTCTCGTAATATTATGCATGTATTCTTGTAATGTTACGACTTTATTCTCGAAAGAAAAATAAGAAAATTTCTAGCCTGGCCCTAATAGCAGTTGGGGAGACGCCACAGGAAAGCTTGATTAAAAGCATTCCCAGCTGCCTCGGCATCAATAAACAACTCAGCCTGAGGAAAGATCAGCAGTTAGCTGGAGGTTTGCTCACCTCATGAAGACAGAACATAGTTTCAAACACATCCTCCATCATCAGGTCATCCAGCTTCTCTGAAAAAGAAACGCACTAATGAGATGATTTCCAGTTTGCTGGTTCACAAAAAAACAAAAACAAAAAAAACTGTATCAATTCCTTAAACACAGAATCCTCTTTATCTCCATCTTTTCATCCATGAATATATTTTTAAACCCACTCACCTCCGGTCTTGATGAAGGTGTTTTCCAAAATGTAATGTACGATTCGGATCCTGGGGAACAAAGGAAGCTTGAGTAGAGTGGAGATGACAGCAGGTTTTAAACTGTGCAGTTTAGACATTACATAAGGAATACACATTTTGTATTTTTTAACAGTGTTCTGTTTGGCAATAAGAATTCTTGTCTTGATACCAAAAAGAGCCCAACAGATTTTACTTTCACAAGTGAAGCAGTACGGCTATCGCCATAGTGTTCCGCTTGAGTTATGCATATAAATTGCTTTATTATAATTCATGCAGGGAGTACACATTTAAAAATGATACAGGTTTACTAAAAGCTGCTGAAGTTAATTTACCAGAAAGCATCACTAGCTGCATTTTCATGACAAATTCTAATTTTCAGAGTTGTGGTTTTTCCATTAAATAAGAAATAAAATTTAAATTGCCCATGAACACATTTGTTCAAGCGATTACTTTTAAAAACTACATGGCGACAGCGAGTGGCTCTTCTCGCTCATCGTGGCAAACTGAATGTAAAAGATACTCAGTCTTTTCATGAATCTACACTGCTCAAAAAAAATAAAGGAACACTTTGAAAACACATCAGATCTCAATGGGCAAAAAAATCATGCTGTTTATTTATACTGAAATGGACTGGGTGATGTGTTTGGAACAAAAGGATGCAACATCATTTGATGGAAATGAAAATTATCAACCTACAGAGGGCTGAATTCAAAGACACCCCAAAAATTACAGTGAAAAAATGATGCGGCAGGCTAGTCCACTTTGCTGAAATTGCATTGCAGCAACTCAAAATGGTATTCAGTCATTTGTAGGGCCCCCACGTGCGTGTATGCATGCCTGACAACGTCAGGGCATGCTCCTAATGAGACGACGGATGGCGTCCTGGGGTATCTCCTCCCAGAACTGAACCAGGACATCACTGAGCTCCTGGACAGTCTAAGGTGCAACCTGGCGGCGTCGGATGGATTGAAACATAATGTACCAGAGGTGTTGTATTGGATTTAGGTCAGGTGAGCGTGGGGGCCAATCAATGGTACCAATTACTTCATCCTCCAGGAACTGCCTGCATACTCTCGCCACATGAGGCCGGGCATTGTCGTGCACCAGGAGGAACCCGGGACCCACTGCACCAGCATAGGGTCTGACAATGGGTGCAAGGATTTAATCCCAATACCTAATGGCAGTCAGGGTGCCGTTGTCTAGCCTGTATAGGTCTGTGCGTCCCTCCATGGATATGCCTCCCCAGACCATCACTGGCCCACCACCAAACCGGTCATGCTGAACGATGTTACAGGCAGCATAACGTTCTCCACGGCTCACATGTTCTCACTTGTGCTCAGGGTGAACCTGCTCTCCTCTGTGAAAAGCACAGGGTGCCAGTGGCCGACTTGCCAATTCCGGTGTTCTGTGGCAAATGCCAATCGAGCTCCACGGTGCCGGGCAGTGAGCACAGGGCCCACTAGAGGACGTCGGGCCCTCAGGCCACCCTGGTGAAGTCTGTTTCTGATTGTTTGGTCAGAGTTATGCACACCAGTGGCCTACTGGAGGTCATTTTGTAGGGCTCTGGCAGTGCTCCTCCTGCTCCTCCTTGCACAAAGTAGCAGATAACGGTCCTGCTGATGGGTTGTAGACCTTCAAGCTCTCCTGGAGTAACTGTCTGTCTCCTGGAATCCCCTCCAAGCTCTTGAGATTGTGCCGGGAGTCACAGCAAACCTTCTGGCAATGGCACGTATTGATGTGCCTTCCTGGAGGAGTTTGACTGCCTGTGCAACCTCTGTAGGGACCAGGTAGCGCCTCATGCTAACAGTAGTGACAGTGACCCTAGCCAAATGCAAAACTGGTAAAAAAAGAGTCAGAAAAGATGAATAGGGGAAAAAATGTCAGTGGCCTCCACCTGTAAAACCATTCCTGTTTTGATGGTCGTCTTGTTGTTGCCCCTCTAGTGCTCCTGTTGCTAATTTCATTAACACCAAAGCGGCTGAAACTGATTACCAAGTCCCTCTGCTACTTATTTGACCAAATCAACACCCAGAAGTTTATTTAACTTGATGCTATACTCTGATTACAAAGTGTTCCTTTAATTCTTTTGAGTGGTGTATATACTCCACGCCATCATCCACCATCTTCTTCTTCGTCTTTTTGCAAGGCAGTATGGTCCAGTTGCAGATCACGTGACTCAAATGCGCAACAACTGTTTCTATCACAGATTTGCGACTTCGGATGCAAATTTAAATGAGACTGAAAAAACACCTACAGAATATTTTCCAATTAAAAAAATTTGATTTTTTTTTATTTTTTATTCCTGTGTTTCTATTTAGCGAACATTTTTTCGTAATTATAATTTGCACAATTTAAGAGCTAATGGAACCGCACCAAGTGACTTATCGGTTTTCAGTCCTAATTTAAAGGAACAAACATTTTCTGCAGATCTTTTTTCTGTAGTAATTAAATTAAATCCTACCCCTGTCCTTCACTGCATTTCATAATTTAATTGTATATTCAGCATTTTAATCTTTAATTGGATGAATACACTTTACAAAATAAATGTTACCGGGTACATGCATTTCTTTCATGGGACATTTTGGCCCTCAATATACCTCACGGATCCCATAAGGAGGACAGTGAAAACACTCTCATGACCCCAATTTAATGACGTGAACCCTAGGGGTTCCCTGATGCTAACATTGGAATCCCGTTGATCTGGCTTCATGAGGGTCAAAAGTCAGCATAAATAGAGTTAAATACAATTTTTTAGAAAGTAATAGGACATAATTGATTGATTAACTTTATTGATCTCACAGTGGAGAAAGAAAACTTGCATTGGTAATATACAGTACATACGATAATCAATAAATCAATTAATCGCACAATAAATAAAAGCGAGGTAAAAAAAAACAACACATCCTATGTTGGGGGGGAAAAGCTCGAAATGGAACTGGTTTGAAAGCCGAGCGCAACAGCCTCAGTGTGGGAGTATTTCGGATTCAAACCAAATGACAGAGGCGAACCGCTGAACCTATGCGAGCCAGTATGTCGCATTTGTCATAAAACAGTAGCAACTAAGTGCAGCAATAAAACCAACCTACACATGCAGCTACAGCACAACCACCCAGCAAAGTTTCTCCAGCTGGAAACAAAAAGTACAAGCAGTGTCCTGTCTGCGTCTTCAAGTTCGCGACAGTCCACCATCACTGAAGCAATTAATCGACTGGCAGCATATGAAAAGGACGGCGCAAAGTGACGCGCGCTCACAGACAGCGTAGTTCATTTAATTGATAAAGAGATGGTCCCATTTAATATTGTTGAAAAGCCAGCATTTCAAAAAATGTTGCAGACATTTGATAGACAGGATGAATTCCCGAGGAAAACATGCATGACGTGATATGTTGTACATATGTTTTTATTTCCACTGTGGTTTTATCTTGTGTTTTGTTTTTATTCAAGCATAATTTTAGTTACAGAGACTGAGAGTCCATTTGATTTTTAATTCTCGTTTTATTTTGTTAACCAGTTCCAGTGTTAAGTGTTCTGTTGAAATTGCATGCATTATTACGTAATTTCCATTAAATAACTGTAAAAAGGTCTGCAAACAATATTATCGTTTATCGCAATAATTTTTGAGACAATTAATCTTTCGGCAATATTTTTATCGTGACAGGCCTAACATACAGTGCGTCTACATACGACTGCTTTTTTTTTAATAGTAGGATCCTTATACTGGGTTATTGCATGTGGTGTTTACATGTATGGATATTTATATATATAGTTATTGCACAGGGTATCAAATAATCAATTGGTCATTATACATTGCACAAGTTTTTGCCGTTGTGGTGTCAGTGTAAATCTGATTCTAGATGACCTGAGTATTTTTTGACCATCTTCATAATTTAACAGTGTTTAATTATTGAGTAGTAAAATGTTTGTTCTTAGCCTCACAGGCTCCAAACGAAGGTCATGAGAGATAAGAATGTCTTACACAGCCTCCTTCATGACATGAAGGGGATGACTGTTGTTTTAAGGAGATCCATTTGGCCAGTGAAATATATATTAACCTAACAGGGAATGGCCTTGAGGAACTTGAGTTGTTTTTCCATCAAATGTTCGTTTGTGAGAAAGTTCTTTATGCAAGGGGTGGGTTGGTTCCATGGGAGAGTGTGTTTATTGGGAGTTGCTGTATAAATGTACTGAGCTTTGCCCAGTCAGAGCTCTATCTCTCCATCTGAGGACGTTAAATAAATGTAAACATTCTCTTGCCAGAGTCTCAGCTTCAAAATCTGAGAAAACTGAGATGTGTAACGATGGAAGTTCCTTTAACAGATCATTATCTGCTTCCAGGTGACCTGCACATCTGATTGTTCTGTTTGTAGTGATCCAGTGAGGGCTAAGCAATTTTTTTTTATTTTTTTGGGGGGGGGGGGGGTATTTTCTATAATATCCATTTTTAGTTACATGTTCAATGTAACTAAAAATAAGGAGTCTTTGTGAGATGATAAACAGTTTATGGTGAGCTCTCGGTTAGCCACTACAGAGCGCTCGTTAGCAAACCAGATAAAAGGGTAAAAGATGGCCGATATGCCACTACTTGTAAACAAACAGCAGCTTTCAGTTGTTATTATGGGCTCCTGTAAAAAGTGTTTGTGATGAAACGTTTCTGGTTCTGTCAGATTCTTGGCCTGTTTTTCTTATCTTCATCTTTTCTGGTGCAGTTCGGCGCTTCTTGAGAAACGTCTGACTGGATTTTCTTTAGAAGTTGACACCTAAGCAGGAAATAACGCTTTAAGGAATTTATTTGTTAAACAATTTGCTATTGCTTAAAACCATTGAGCATTACCATTGCAGCATCTTTCCTTTAACACTAAATCATTCTGCTCTTCAACGGAATTTGGCCTTTTGTGGATTAGATGGCAATGTGAGAACATCCGCTTTTCCACATTCTTAAATCTACCATTTTTAAAAGCAAAGCCTTTTCTCCTCCCTCTCTAAGATTAAGCTTTGATAACAGCAGAGCTCTATGTGAAGTTTCACTTGACGTCCATCCCTGCTCAGCTTTTCCAGATGCAGAAGTAGTTCCTGGAATAAATGAATCTTTTGTCTTCATAGAAACATTTCAACCTGAGAATTCATCAAACCAGTAAATCCTGTTTGGTTCCCTGTCCCCTCAGAGGCAGCTCTTTATTTTAGGGATAAAATACTCCATTTAAAGGGAGAGATGCAAACAAAGAAAACCTGTAGCCAGCTGTTCGTCACAGCCTGTAGATGTTATGAGCTGGAGGAACATCTGAAGAGCTTTACTGACGGTAAAAACACAAACATCTTCTCCAGTGACCTTTAGGGCTCTGGTGCTGTTTTTCAGGGACGGTTGCATCTTAATGTTTGACTCGAAACTAACAAAGAGGGTTCCTAGAACTACCTACACAGGTTTCATTCATAGGTGTGTTAAATGAAAATGAATGTGTGTGACTTACTTGTTCGCCTGGGTCAGTCCCTTCTCATCATGGCACCAGTTGCAGGAGTCGGAGACTTTAAGCAGGTACTGATAGTCCTCAAATATGTCATTGGGAGCACGCAGGCCGTAGAATAGTTTTCCATCATGTTCTATCCGCTGGCACACGAGAAAAACACACATTAGTGGATTTCTTTGACTCCTGGTGAATACAAAGAGCTTGATGCTGTGAGGAAACTCACTTTAATTGAAATTTTCTTCTTCTTTAGCTCTTTCAGGAATTCATCCTGCTTCTGGTACTTCCTGTCCATGACGTCGTCCAACTTATCGGCCACCAGAACGTAGTCAAAGGTTTTCTGGACGGGCTGTTCAAACGCAAACATTTATTATTGCCTCTTTATATGACAAAACAAAAAATTACATCTCAATTTAAAAAAAAATCCCTGATCGTCATCAGGAGGAAAGCATTAAGGATGTTAAGGACTATTATTCCTTTTGGTGCCAATAACTATATATTCATGCATCTCAGACCTGCCAAAATGTACAAAACAATAATTTATTTACCATTTATTTAAAAAAAATGTATTCAGCAGCACTCTAAATGTTCTGTATGGAGGGTTAAAGGGGACAAAATAGAATAAATATAACGTAGAATAATTAATATTAGAATTTATGTGGTCAATACATAAAAAATTATTTAATGTTTCATTAGAGTAACCATGAAATAAATAAATGAACCGCTAAATGATTAAATGTGAAATGTAATAAATATTTTATTACATGTGCATTAAATGATTAAATGCACCATTTATTTAATACATCACTAAAAAATTACATATACCAATAAATTGTGATATGTAAATATTTAAATGTCCCATTAGATAAGCATAAAGTTTAAATTATGACAATAAGTAGTAATAGTTAAATGTATTTTTTAAATAAATTCATTTAACTTTTGAATATTTCATTACGGTAAAACCTTATCCATCAACACCCGTGGGCAGGACTACAGCTGCTTACATAGAAACTAGGGATGCACGATATTGGGATTTTGGCCGATATCCGATATGCCGATATTTTAAAACTCATGTAGCCGATAACCTATACCGATGTTAAAGCTGGACAAAAATAAGTAGTCATTGAAAATAGCAGTTTTTAAAAAATTTTTTACCCCTTTGAAAAATAAAATATTTAAAAAATTTTTATATGCGGGTATCAAATTGAATTTTTTAAAAAGCGGTATTGAATTTTTCCTTTTAAAATCTCGTTTAAAATTTTCATGTTCTTTTAAAAAATCCGTGATATTTTTTTCAAATTTTGTAGTTTTGTTGTAAAAAAAGATCGATAAACCCCGTCAATAATCAAAATAAAAAATATAGCAAAAAATTTCCCTGAAATTTTTGGGGGGGTTTTTTAGCATAAAAAGGACATTTAGCAATTTTTTCATTAGTAAAAGAGATTGATTTTGGGGTTTTTAAAAAGGCAATAAAAAGCATAGGGGAAAAATTGTGATATTTTAATGTATCAATATTTTTTTTTTCGGGCTTTGAAGTTTTTAAGTCTGGGAAAAAAAAATTTTTTTTTTTTTTTTTTTTTTTTTTTATTTTCGTGCCCGTTGGGGAAAAGGGGGGCAATAAGAAATAATTGTCTTGATGCCAAAAGGAGGGCCCCAAAGATTTTCTTTCCCAAGTGTTTTCGGACCCCAATTGCCCCTAAACCCCTTCTTGTTTCATGGGTTTTAAATTGCTTTTTTATAAATTTTGCAGGGAGTTTTACAGTTTTATATGGACATGCAAAAGGGAAGTAAGAAGAAAAACAGAAGAAGAAGAAGGAAAAGAAAAAACAAGAAGAAAAAGCAAACCAAAAAAAGGTTTCGAGATATCAATAAAAACAAACACCCTTTAAAAATATCACTAAAGTAATATTATTAATCTGAAAGTACTCTGTGTTACCTGAAAAATATAATGTGGGGGTTTTTGTTTGGAAGGGAAAATTTTAAAATATGAAGCTAAACCCCCTGTGTTTTTTGGGGAGGTGAACTTGTGCATGGGAAAAATTTTAACCCTTTGAAAAAAATTTCTCAATAGTGGGGTTTTGGAGAGCCGGGAGGGGACACCCCCCCGGGGCATGAGTCCCCGGCCCCGGGGGACCCCAAAACCCCCGGGCCCAAGGGGGCCCCCCGAAGCGAAGGCCCAAGGCGGGGCCCCGCCCCCGGGAAAACGACCCCCCCCAAGGGAGGAGGAGGGGACAGCCTCGAGGAAGCCCCCCAAACCACCGCCATGGGGGGCGGGCCCCCGGGGGGCCGGCCCGGGGGCGAGTCCGCGGGGCCCCCCGGGAGCCGGGCCCCCCCCGAAGAGGGGGGGCGGCCCAACACCCCGCCCCCCCCGGGGACCCCCAAAGCCCCCGCCCCCAGAGACCGAAAAACGCCCCGCCCCCCCCCCGCCCCCAAGGGCCCCCCGGGGACCCGGCCCCCAACCCCAGCGAACCGACCACCCCGGGGAAAAATAAAGGGGGGCCCCCCCCCCGGGGGGCCCATCGATTTTCCCCCGCGAAAAAAGGCCCCCCGAGCGGGGGGACCCCCCCCAAAAAACCCCCCCCGGCCCCAAAAGGGAGGCCCCCCCCCACCAAAACCCATCCCAAAAGGCGCAACGAAACACCCCTGCGCACAGAATCACCCCCGAGAAAAGCCCCCCCGGGCGCAAAACCAAAAAGAGGAGCAGACCGGGAGGCGCAACCACCCCCCCAGCACCCCAGGGGGAGCACAAAAACCCGAGCGGAGGAACCGCGCCCCCCCCCCAGGGCGAGCCAAGGGAGCCCCCCCACGTCCCCCCCCCCCCCCCGAGGCCCCCCCAGTCCCCACAAAGCGGCCAGAGCAGCCCGCCCCCCCGGCCCCCCCCAGCGGGGGTCATAGCCCCCCCCAGGCCCCCACCCCCCCCCCCCGCGCCCACCCCCCGCGATCAGTGGGAAAAGAGCCACCCCCATGCCCCCAGGAGGGGAAAAAACCCCCCCGAATAAAACCCCGCCAGGCAGCCAGGCCCCCCCAGAGGCCCCCCAAATACCCCCCCCCGCCGGAGCCCCCCGGACCCCCCCCACCCGCGGGCGGCCCCCAGCAGGACCCCCCCCCAGCCCGGCCCCCCCCCCGGGGAAAAAGGGCAAAGCCAACCCCCCCAAAGGGAAAAAAAGGAAAAAAAAAAAAAAAAAAAAAAAAAAGGGGCCCCCACAATGCGACAGCGGAAACCCCGAAACCCACCCCCCCCCGCAACCCCTCCCCCCCAGAGGAAGAGAAAAAAAAAAAAAAAAAAAAAAAAAAAAAAAAATAAATAGGTAAAAAAATTTAAAAAAAAATTTTAATTAAAATTTAAAAAAAATAGGCAAAAAGGAGAAGTGGAGCCGGGAAAAAAAGGGCCCCAAAAGGAACCAAAACCCCCACCCCCCCTGCCCCGCAGTCCCCCCCCCCCCGAAAACCCATACCCCAGAACCGGATAGGGAAAAAAACACCGCCCCGGGAACCCGGCATCGTAGCGAAGGCCCGGGGACCGACCCCCCCAAAATCCCCAACAAACAAAACCCCGCCCCCCCCCGGGTCTCCAGTCCCCGGGCCCCCGGGAAACCCCAGGCCCCCGGGAACCCCCCCCCAGAAAGCCCCCCGGGAAAGCCCCCGGCCGGGGGGGGGCCAAAGGGGGAGGCCCCCAGGAAAGGCCAAACAGTCCCCCCCGGATCTAACCCCCCCTACCGTGCACCCCGGGGGCCCCGACCCCCAGCCCGGAGGGAGGAGAGGGGGGGGGAAAGGGCTCCCCCTTAAACGGGGACTTAGATTGGGTTTTTTGGGAGGGTGCGGTTGAGAACCCCAAAATTTGGGGAAAAAAAAAAAAAAAAAAAAAAAAAAAAAAAAAAACCCCAAAACCCTTAATCATGTTCCCCCCCTAGTGCCCCCAATGTACCCAGGGGAAAAAAAAAAAAAAAAATAAAAAATAATAATAATTTAAAAAAAGAAAATAACAACGCAGACAACATTCAAACATAAAAATCACTTTAATATACCCGGACCCCAAAAAACCCGGGGACACCGGTGGTCGGTCCCCGGGGTATTTGGAAAAGGGCCCCCCAAGTGAACCCCAAAAACCGGATGTGAGGGGGGGGAGCGGCGAAAACCCCCCCACACCCAAACCCCTCCCCTTTTTGCTTCAAGGCCCCCCCCCCCAACCCCCCCACACCCAGGACCCCCCCCCCGCAAAAGCCCCCCCCCGGGGCCGGGGGCCCCCCCATCCCGGGCCCCCACCCAAACCCGAAGCCCCCCCCCCCAAAAAAAAAAAAAAAAAAAAAAAAAAAAAAAAAAAAAAACTTCCCCCAAAACACTTTATGCCCCCCCATCCAAACCCTTTTTTGGGGAGAGAAGGTGACAGCCCCCCACCAGGGCCACCCCAGGGCCCCCCAGCCAGCCCCCGCCCCAAAAACGGCCCAGGTGGCCGTCTTCCTCCAGGCCCCAATCCAGGGGGGCAGCCCGGGGAAAGGGGTGTGAGAAGACCCCGGGTTCACCCCGCCCCCCCGCTTTGAAATTTGGGGGGGGTTGTTGGTTGGGTTTTTCCTTTTGATGCAATTAAAAAATGGGGGGAAAAAAAGGGGGGGTCCGGGAATACCCCCCCCCAGGAGATGAAAGGTGGCCAACCCTCCCCCTTTGGCAACCCCCAAACCCCCAATGCTAGAAAGGAGAGGGGTGGAGGGGGGGCCCAGTGGTGGGCCCCTAAAATAAAAACCCCCCCCCGGGGGGCCCCCCCCCCGAAAATGCCCTAATAGATGTGTGTTTTTGAAAAAAGATTTAGTGGAGGTCTAAAATGCAAAAAAAAATTGGGGGGGGGGAAAGTAAACAGAAGGGGGGGTGCTTGTTAAACGGGGGGGGGGGGGGGGGGGGGGCCCCTCCCCAAAAAACCCACTTTTGGGGGTGATGGGGGCAGGGAAGGGGAGGTTTTGGGGTGGGGGGCAAAGGATGGGGGGGCCCGCTGGACTCCCCGGGAGCCAGTCCCCCCCGGGTAATAGGCCCCCCCTTCCCCCCGGGCCCCCCCGAGAAGGGGGCCCCCCAGTTTTTTCCCCCAAAAACCCCCGGGGACGGGAAGGGAGAGGAACCCCCCAGCCAGCCCGGGGAGGACCCACCCCCCACCCCCCCCCCCTCCCGTCCAAACCCAAAAAAAAAAATTTAAATAAAAAAAAAAATAAATAGATAAAATAAAAAAATAAAAATAAAAAAAATAAAAAAAATTAAATAAAAAAAAAAAATTAAAAATTTTTAAATAAATAAAAGAAAAAAGGGGAAGGGCCCAAACCCCCCGGCCCGCCCCCGCGCAAAGCAAACCCCCCCCCCGGCCCAAGC